TGCCACTGCCACAGGGCAGGCACAGATTTTGGGATCTTGGGCAGGAATTGCTGGCTGGGAGGGTGGGCAGGCCCTGGCCCAGGGTGCCCAGAGCAGCTGGGGCTGCCCCTGGATCCCTGGCAGCGCCCAAGGCCAGGCTGGGCAGGGCTTGGAGCATCCTGGGGTAGTGGAAGTTGTCCCTGCCCATGGCTGGGTGAGGTTTAAGGGCCCTTCCAAACCAAACTATTCTGTGATTCATTCTGATTCTCTACTCTGCTTGCCACATTTTCAAGTGGGACATGAGGTAAGCCCAGCAAATGGGACCAACAGTGAATGTCTGAGGGTGGGAGGATTTACCAGGCCCTGTCCTGCCCTTATGCTGCTTTAAATCATTGTTTCTCCAAGGATAACCTCCAAAGTGGGGTGTGTGCAGGTTCCATGGTACCCCTGGGGTCACTGAGAGGGCAACCCTTCCCAGTGTAGTCCTGAGTTTATTCCCACATTCCACTAGGTGTGTGACAGCAAATCCCCGGCTGGGCTCTCACCCATCCCTGTGCCTGCGCTGTGCGTGCCAAGAGCAGCTCTGCAAACAGCAGCAGTGGGGTGTAACCCTGGGCAAACACTGCCACGTTACAGCAGCAGTGCTGCTCCGGGGCTCGGCCTGTGCCCACACAGCTCTGGCCGGGAATGGCTGTGCCCACACAGCCCTGGCCGGGAATGGCTGTGCCCACACAGCTCTGGCCGGGAATGGCTGTGCCCACAGGAGCGCTCTGGGGCTCGGCTTGTGCCCACACAGCAGTGGCTGGGAATGGCTGTGCCCACACAGCGCTGGCCGGGAATGGCTGTGCCCACAGGAGCGCTCCGGGGCTAGGTCCGTGCCCACACAGCGCTGGCTGGGAATGGCTGTGCCCACAGGAGCGCTCCGGGGCTCGGCCTGTGCCCACACAGCGCTGGCCGGGAATGGCTGTGCCCACAGGAGCGCTCCGGGGCTCGGCCCGTGCCCACACAGCGCTGACCGGGAATGGCTGTGCCCACAGGAGCACTGCGTGCTCAGCACCACGGCTGGGAAACACCCTCTGCCAAAATGCAGAGGTTCTGTAGATCAATCCCCGTGCCAGAAACAAGCATTGCTGAAGAAAGTGAGGCAAGGGGACCGGCTCCTTTTGGATGCCTTTATGAAGTGATCAGCTCTGGGTGGGGGCCTGAGGGGCTGCGCACACCGCCTGCTCCCTTGGGTGATGCAGAGGAGGAGAGGGACAGTTTTGCTTCACAGCAGAACTGGGGCTTCTATCCTCATGGGTGTGCCTAGGAAGACATTTTCTGGCTCATCGTCTAGGGGTCCTTATTCTGACCCAGTTCTAGTAGGTCACGGTGACATCTGAAACCTTGCTGGTTGGGCAGGAGGACTTTTTGCTAGTAGGACCCTTTATTTAGTTCCTTAAATTTTCAGTTAGTTCGTCGTTTTTAGGGTCTTTTGTTGGATTTTCTCGAGTATCTCTTAATTTGTGTATTTCCCAGGGATGTTTCCAGGCACCATTTTGGGGAACAGCAGAGGCAGTACCCGACAAGCATATCGGTAAGGTGAGGGGATTAACAGTGGGGGTAACTTAAAGGTCTAACATTTAACAACAATTTAATTAACACAATTAAGTTATTGTAATTAATATTAACAGCTCTAATTGCATTAACTTATAAACTTGTATTAACTCATAAACTTGTTCATAACATTGCTATGCCTATAAACACTTCTATTCACAGCATGTCAATTTATGTTTTGCTGTCATCCCAAGGCCAGGTTGGACAGGGCTTGGAGCAGCCTGGGATAGTGGAATGTGTCCCTGCCCATGGCAGAGGGTGTGACAGGATGGGATTTAAGCCCCATCCAACCCAAACCATCCAGTGATTCTGAAACAATGAAATAAAGATACAGCACTATTATCTAAAACCATTTCCAATGCAAACATGGCCTTCTAGAGCTTTTCAATTAAATTACTGCAGCCAGGTTCACTGAAAACAGGAATAATGGCAGTCTGTTACAACCAAAATATTATTTGGTTCAGCAAGCACTGCTCTAACAATCAGAAAATTGCACAAAGATAATCCCTTCTTTCATGTCTTAGGCAGTTTAATGAAACAGTTATTTCTCACAGAAGGAGATTTTAGTTAACCTGAGTGTAAATTAAATTTTTCTTCATTTCCTTCACCTGCAACCTCTGCAGCCACTGTTCTTTCAGCAATAATGTTCTCCATCGTACAGAAATCATGAAGGAATGACCCTGGGGACTGAACCTCAGCAGCTCCCAGACTTCAGCTGAGACATGATTGCTGCATCTGGGCAATAACAGCATAATGTGTTACTGTCATTAGATCAAAATTTAACTTTATTTTCAGTTTAGACATTCGTAGCAGCTGATCATGTGCAGTTTAACATGACAGAATTTCCTTTCCTGTCAGGATCAGACCATCAAAATAATCAGCAACATAAAATTAATTAACTCTATTTAATAATTTTTTGCATACACTTGCATTTTTTGAAATGTGTTTTTCAACTAACTGCTTGGCATCCAGCAATTTGTGCAAATCAACACACAGAAGGTACCACATCCCATTAAGACCTTCTCATTAAAGAAAAAGTACTTGAAATTAATTTATTTGAATTTTTTTTTTCAAATATTGATTTATTTATCTTTCCTCAATAGTATCTAAATAAAGCCAGACAGGTTTAATGATGAAGAACTTAGGACTAGATTTGCAGTACTTTGGTCCCCTAAAGATGCCAACTCTAAAATTTTCTAAAAGCCTTCAGTGCAAATGAAGCTGCTACTTGGTCTAGGAAATTCTGGTAGATGTCCACGTGCCACCATCAGGTGCCCAAACCTTTTGTAAATCTTGTTTTTAGCAAGTGACAAGCACATGGGAATTTTCTCAGTTAAATTCAACTCACTTGATCAATATTATTCCATCACATGAGGATTTCCTTAATTTCTGCCTGCTTGTTTTTCTTAAAGAAGCCTTTGTGCATTCCTTTGCATCCCAGCAGATGGTCTCATGCACTCTGGCCCAGACTTGGGCCTTTGCTTTCACTCGATTTTTATTTAACTATTCACAACACAACAGGATTATTGACCTATTCTTGAAAAAGAATAGAGGCAGAAGAGTTACAACACAAATCTCCTGACAGGACTTCCAGTGAAGTGCCTCATACAGAAAGTTTTGTGATGTAGATTGCTCCCTTTAGGGTTTAACTGCAGCTAATAAAAGCAGTGGAACACGATTCCAGAGACCATAAACATGTAATCTTACTTGCATTATCTGCCTGTTTTCGTTTTTGCAGATTTTTCAGAAGGCCTAGTGTTTAAATATGGTGCTGGCACACAGCTGGAAGCCTGGTGCAGCCTGTAGCATAATTTACTATACACTTTATTTTCTGTGTTATTGTTCAATGCATTTTCTTCTGTAATAATATTCTAAATAACTAAAACAAAATTAATTATGCAGACTTCATAAATTGACTGAATACATTACCAAATTAAAGGAGCCCCAGTAAAGCTCTTACTCTACTTTTTATTGTGTTCCCAGCTGTTTAGAGGTGGATATACTCTAAAAGTATGGCCTGTTTATGAAATGCCCAGCATATTAAAACAGCACGGAAGGGACAATCTCTTCAGCAATGCTCAGGATGACAGAACACATATTCTTGTTTAGCTGAAGAGCTGCAGATTGGACTGGGCATGACTGAGGCAACTCCAGTGCTGGGACAGCTCTGAGCTCTCAGGACAAGAGAGACACTGAGGGGCTGGAGCGTGTCCAGGGCAGGGAACGGGGCTGGGAAGAGGAGAAAAGGAGCCTCTCCCCTCAGGAGAGGCTGAGGGAGCTGGGAAGGGGCTGAGCCTGGAGAAAAGGAGGCTCAGGGGGGACCTTGTGGCTCTGCACAGCTCCTGACAGGAGGGGACAGCCGGGGGGGTTGGGCTGTGCTCCAGGGAACAGGGACAGAAGGAGAGGGAACGGCCTCAGGCTGGGCCAGGGCAGGCTCAGGGTGGGCAGCAGCAGGAATTTCCCCATGGAAAGCTGGTCAGGAATTAGAAGGGGCTGCCCAGGGAGGTGTTGGAGTTCCCATCCCTGGAGGTGTCCAAGGAATGACTGGATGTGGCACTGAGTGCTCTGGGCTGGTGACATGGTGGGGATGAGGCACAGGTTGGACTCAGTGGTCTTTTCCAACCTAAATATCCTGGGATTCACTGATCTAGGAGGAAGCTGCAAGACACTGATCAGATGGGGGGTTACGTTCCAAAGATGAGGTAAGAGCTGATTAAACAGCAATCCCAAACTCAGGTCCCAACAGAGTTAGCTCCTGAAGGAAGAGCAAAGAGCATTAATCAAGATCGGCCACGGAGCTGTCTGTGCCTGAGCTCATTGCAAAGCCATGGCTGTGGCTGCAGGGGCACACCTGTGAATGCTGCAGATCAATTCACACCAGGACTGACCAAACCAGGCACTGGCAGGAAACGAGGCACCTCACCAGGGACACCAGGCAAAATTAGAGTCATTAACTAACTGGTGAGTGAAGTCACAGTCACAGGAACAACACAGGACCACAGTGACAGTTCAGGGACCGCCTGTATAAAATGGTGCATTTTTAGACCTTCCTGAGGGAGGATTTTAGGGAAATTAAATCATAAAGAACAATCCAAAACTGGAATGGTTTTGTTTTGAATTTTTTTAAAGAGTTCTCTGGTTTGGCAGACAGGAAAAAGCAGGAATTACCACTTTTATTCCTTACTAAGGACAGGGACACCTAAAACCCTTCACATTTGGGATGCAAGTCAGCAGCAGAATCCATCTTCCCAGGAAGAGGCAAAGTTTGCCTAGTTCACTTTATCATGAACTCAGTTATTTTAGGACCTCCTTCTGCCTGGGGCCTGTCTCCAGGTTTTCAAAGGTTTTGTTACCACTTGAAGTGTTTACAGCTCTGAACACTAGGAATTCTGTGATTCTGTGTAATAATTGCATGAAGCGACTTATTTTTAAGTAAAATCCCAGTTTATTATAATGAAAATTCCACAAGCAAGAGGTTTTAATTGGATGTTGGGTTTTTTTTTTTAAAGCCAGAACTGTACCATTATAAATCACTACAACAGAACATAAAGCAACATTCTCTTGCATCATGCCTCAGGGAAAAAAAAAAGGCATAATAGTTCAAGGAAAATAATTCAGGGAAGTATCACATCAAGACTTTCTGCTTTTAGTAAGCTAAATAAATTTTGTATGTAGCACAACTCCTCTAGCTCATCCATAGAGTTGACATGAAAAAATCTAAATTTTCATAGATAAATTACGAGCTTTTTTTTTTTTTTGTCACAATGCAGTAAACAGTTCTTCATCAAGAACAGATAAAGCCTTTAAGGTGAAAGCCTCAAGTACTGCACTAGCACTTAGTGACATCAAGATGCTAAGATACATTTACCTTCCATAGACAATTTATTCTTATGTTATTTAACCTAAACTGCAATCACACCAAACAGAGGCAGATGAAAAGTAGTTCCAGCGAGAAAAATACAAGAACATCAGCTTTCAAATATTTTAAATAAACAAATGAGCCAGCTGCCATTTTAGTGGCAAAAAAGACTCTCTCCTGCAAGCAATTGAGTTTTTTATTCAGCTAAAATGTGCAAAGAAAAAAGTCTCAAATTGAGAGGAATATCAGCAGTTCATACTGGACATGAGGCAATAAAATCCTTAGGAATGAACTCCTTCAAGCTGTTTTCTTGTCATATACTGCAGTGGATCTCTCTGCAACACTTCCATTTGCAATGCCATTGCTTTCCAACTGCAAATAAAAAACAGTGTCATTAATGAGATGTCAAATTACAACTTCACATCTAAAACAGCTGGAACAGCTGGTGACAAAAATGGCTCTGAGAAGCAAGGCCAGTAAAGATCTATGAAGAAATCTGGAGCAAGACCCAAAAGTGGTGGTGTCTGTGTAGATTTACAAATAATTATTACTTCAGGGATAAGGGAGGAATGAAGGGGGAAGGGAGGAATGAGGGCAGAGACAACGTTTACAAGTCTTTGCATCATGATAGAAGATAAATAATAAAAGCATGATTTATATGCACTATAAATGCATCCTCCCCCATTAGCAGAGCTGGCTGAAGAGAGGGGCTGTTTTTACTTTCTGCTTCATGCATCTGTTGTGATTTGCCAAATATTTGACTTTTTTCTTCTCTGAAAGAACAGCCAGTTTTTAAAAAAATAATAATTAAGCTGTTTCAGGATACAGGCACAATTCCTCTTCCTCCAAGACTAGAAGAAGCAACTATTATACTAACTATGCCTTGAAGCACCAATTCCTAGCTGGCACAGCAGTGGTACTTGCTGTTTCTAAGAAAGCAGCCACTAAAATATCTGTAAACACACCCAGCTGTTCACCCTCCTGAGCCACCACTGGGTGGCTCATCCCGGAGCTTAGCTGGGTGAATTAATCTTACTTTAAGGCTTCCAGATCCATCCTCCTGGCCTCCTTTGGCAGGTCCCCGAGGGTCCCCAGTGCTGCCTCCTGGCCCCTGCTTGGTGCCTGGTGGCTCCTGCACAGCCCTCTTGGGCCAGAAGCGCTTGATGAAGGGGGCGATCATGGGGTAGATGTAGGGCTCCACAAACTTCTTGTAGACCCAGAGCAGAACAGGGATCACGATGCAGGGAATGCACACCATGGCTCCCTCCTGTGCTGGGACACAGATGGTGAAGGGGGGGGAAAAAACAGCTTAAGGTCGCAGCATTTGTACGCCACCAGCTGAAAAAACAGTATTTACATAGTAAATAAAAACCATATTTCACATTCAAACGCAGATTATTCTTTGTAAAGTAGCTCCTAAGGTTTCAAAAATGCTGTGTGCTCCCATGTTATAAAGCCTCCAACAAAGGGAACATTCTTGCATTTTAACCAAAAAAAACCAAAACCAATTTGCTATTAATTCATCAGTCCTACAGATGCAACTAAGGAAAACAAATTCAGGAAATAAGAGTTTTTGCTTAAGCCACACAAAAACAGTTTAAGCAGCAAGCTGCCAGTATTAGCCCAGTTCCCACTATGAGACCAAAGGGTTTGTTTTGCTCAATCCATTTTTATTTAAGGAGAAACTAAACAGCAGACAGCCAATCCATCCAATGGGGTGCTACCACTGAAGGGCAGGATAGTGGGAAAGGAGAAAAAATTCCAATCAGGATTTGAGAGAATTAGCATATGGGTTACTTTCTTCCTGCTGCCCTCACATGATCCCACACCAACCCAATACAATTAACTGTTAGAAAATGAACCATGCCTTCTCTCTGAAACCCCACAAGTCCTGAAAATGTGCATCCTTTTTTTATGCTAAAAAAAAAAAAGCAGAAAAGCAAAGCGAGGAGGCAGAGAGGTGCAGCTGGGAGGGGAAGCAGTTAATTAGGGCTAAACCTGTCCCTGTCAGTGCTGACAGCAATATATTAGACACACTCTGCTGCCACACAACTTTGCCCTTCACAGTCCCCCTCTCTAGACTGCTGACATCTCAATTCTCACACCAAGAAGCAAAACAAGAGATTTCCAAGATGGAGAATGAAGAGGCAGATGTGCACAGTTGCTAGGGACCAGTTTTGCTTTTTATTTTATGTTATCCTGAAAACTCCTAGCACTGTGGAAAAGCAGAATATCAATTTCCAGCTGACTGTTCCCAGGTTCTGTTCTGGCTGCTTCAAATACAGTTTAAATCCACTCTCTGGAATCTGAGAGGAATGTGACATTAAGACAACACAAACGAGGTAACTCTTTAAACTTATTAAAGAAAGATATTTTAGATACTGTCTCCACCAGAATTTCCTAAATATTAAGTTTCCAGCAAAATGTGCATTCATCCAGCAGCTGAAGAACACGGCTGGAGGGAACACCTCAGGTTGCAGAATCATTACAGAATTATGGAATTATTTGGGTCAGAAGAGAATCTCAAAATAATTTCCTTCTATTCCCTGCCATAGGCAGGGACACCTTCCACTGTCCCAGGCTGCTCCAAGCCCCATCCAGCCTGGCCTTGGGCACTGCCAGGGATCCAGGGGCAGCCACAGCTGCTCTGGGCACCCTGGGCCAGAGCCTGCCCACCCTGCCAGCCAGCAATTCCTGCCCAAGATCCCAAAATCTGTGCCTGCCCTCTGGCAGTGGCAGCCATTCCCTGTGTGCTGTCCCTGGGAATCAGCACGTGTTGTGCTGCCTCTGCAGCCGCTTCGTGTCAGTATTCCTGCCAAAAAAAATCACGGGTACCTGTGCCTGATGCACCAGCGATCCCTGGGGTCAGCGAAACACCGTCCTGACCGATTCCTGCGGTGACTCGGTGATGCTCCGCCAGCTGGCTAGCAAGGAGAACAAACAGGAGAGGACAGGATGAGGATGAGGAGGAGCCCGGGCAGGGGCTGCGGGCGGCAGGCGCTGCCGCTGCGCCCGGGGAGCCGGGCACGGCTCGGCACGGCTTTGTTCCCAGCGCCCGCAAAATGCCACAAGGGCAAACCCGCCGCGTTTTCCCCGTTTTCCATAACGGATGAGCGAGCCTAGGAGGCTGCCTAATGTCAGGCGCTGCCGTCCTGCTCTCCGGGGGCGGTTGGGGTCGGTGCAGCCCGTGAGGCCCCGGCTACCGGCGTGGCCAGGCAGGCGTGGGCCGTGCGGAGCGGGGAGGGGGGCAGGGCGAGGCGGGATGTAGGGAAGGGATCATTCCCGGCTCCCGGGGCTCCCGGCGCTCCGCACCCACCTGCGCCCGCACCGGAACGGCCCCGCGCTTCCGGGGCGGCGCTTCCGGCCAATGGCAGGCGGCAGCGTGCGTCACGTGACACGCCAAGCCCCGCCCCACCCGCGCGGATGGGAACGGGGACACGGGCCCGATTCCCGATTATCCCGGATTTGGGATGGGGGAGGGACTGTGGCACGGCTCGGCAGCCGGCGGGGACTCGCGGCCCAGCTTGGAGTCCAATATTGGGAAGGAATTGCTGGCTGGCAGGGTGGGCAGGCCCTGGCCCAGGGTGCCCAGAGCAGCTGTGGCTGCCCCTGGATCCCTGGCAGTGCCCAGGGCCAGGCTGGATGGGACTTGGAGCAGCCTGGGACAGGGGAAGGTGTCCCTGCCCATGGCAGGGGGTGTAACAGGATAATCTTTAAGGTCCCCACCCAGCCAAACCACTCCATGATTCTGTCCCATTCACTGCCCCTGTCCCACAGCAATGCCGAGCGCCAGGACAGAACTTGTAGCAGAGCAACACAATCAGTCCAAACTTTAAAATTTTATTTATATACATCTGTCCATGCAGATTTATTCCCGAGCCATTAGCTTTTGCTTCTTCAGCTTCTTCTGGGAGATCTGGGAAGCAAACACAAAAAAAAGAACACAGTGAAATGAGACTTCCCAAAACATGCCAAAGTTATCTTTTACATGTGCTGCAAACTGTTAATAATTAACAGTTAAGTGGAATTCCCTCACAAATGATACACTCATCTCACCTGCACAGGAACAGGAATCCCTACAAGCACTACACTGCTTGCAGGCTCTAAATTCAACTTATTTTATTGTACAAACCCATGGTTCATGCACACAGTCTGGGAATGCTGGAGCTGCTTTGAGGGAGGAAAGAACCAACGCTCTGTGCAATTAAAAAATGGTTCTCAGGGCTTTTAAGTGCTTAATACTTGTGTTGAAAGTTTAAAAATGGGGTTGCTCAGAAAGAACTAATTTTTTTTTTCATGGGCATTCCAAAGGTGTCCTAAGAGAGTCATCACAGCAACCCCTCTCTCTGCCAGACCCTTGGACAGTGTTACAGGAACAGAGCACATGACATCTGTTACCTTTTTCTTCTGGGCAACTTCCTCCTCTGGCTTGGGCACGATCTGCTCCTTCTCCGTGAGGATCATCTCGATGTGGCACGGGGAGCTCATGTAGGGGTTGATCCTGCCGTGGGCCCGGTACGTGCGCCGGCGCATCTTGGGAGCCTTGTTCACCTGGATGTGCTCGATCACCAGGGAGTCCACATCGAGACCCTGGCAAGGAAGAAAATCTGTCAGCCACCTTCATCTTTACATAATTCGTTTCCGCAGCAAGAATGTGAGTAATCGCCCCAGATACTGCTGCTGGTGAATGAAACAACCAGGATTGCGGGTGCCATGGAGCTCAGGGTTTTTCCAAGGATTCACCACTGACACAGCCAGCCTTGGGGGTGCCATGGAGCTCAGTGTTTTCCAAGGATTCACCACTGACACAGCCAGCCTTGGGGGTGCCATGGAGCTCAGGGTTTTCCAAGGATTCACCACTGACACAGCCAGACTTGGTGGTGCCATGGAGCTGAGCATTTTCTAAGGATTCACCACTGACACAGCCAGCCTTGGGGGTGCCATGGAGCTCAGCGTCTTTCCAAGGATTCACCATTGACACAGCCACGCTTGGGGGTGCCAAGGAGCTCAGGGTTTTCCAAGGATTCACCACTGACACAGCCAGCCTTGGGGGTGCCATGGAGCTCAGGGTTTTCCAAGGATTTCCCAATTAAACAGCCCAGCTTGGGTGTGGCCTGGGAGCTCAGCGTTTTCCAAGGATTCACCACTGACACAGCCAGCCTTGGGGGTGCCATGGAGCTCAGGGTTTTCTAAGGATCTGCCAGTAAAACAGCTGAGCTTGGCACTGTCTTGGAGATGAGGACTTACCAAAGCAAGCATCATTTAAAATGACCAAGATGAGCCTCCACACACCACAAATAATTTAAAATTGTGCTGCTGGCTCATTGTCTATGGTTATTTCATGGTTACTAAAAGGTGCCACCTATTACTCCAACACTGCCAACAAAGCTACCAAATCCAGCACTGTAACAAAGTCTGACCAAGAGTCTGCAGATTTCAATTTCACACATTTTGAGATACCTGAACAGCCCTTTTGTGTGAAATTATCGCCAGTCCAGGAGTGCTGACAGAGAGCATGACACCACTGCTTTGTGCTCAGTAACACCCACCTTGAGCTCAGCGTTGCTCTCTGCATTCTTCAGCATGTGCAGCAAGAACTCTGCGCTCTTCTTGGGCCAGCGGCCCTGCGTCCAGCCCCACTGCTTGGCCTGGAATGAGGGGAAACAATGGGAGTGCTGCTTTTGGCCTGCTCCATTCCAGTTACCTTCTACACACCTTTAACTTGCCTTCGTCACAGAATGGTTTGGGTTGGAGGACACCCTGAAGTTCATCCAGTGTCATCCCCTGCCATGGGCAGGGACACCTTCCACTATCCCAGGCTGCTCCAAGCCCCATCCAGCCTGGCCTTGGGCACTGCCAGGGATCCAGGGGCAGCCACAGCTGCTCTGGGCACCCTGGGCCAGGGCCTGCCCACCCTGCCAGCCAGCAATTCCTGCCCAAGATCCCAAAATCTGTGCCTGCCCTGTGGCAGTGGCAGCCACTGCCTGTGTGCTGTCCCTGCAGGACTTGTCCCCAGTCCCTGTGCAGCTCTCCTGGAGCCCCTGGAGGCCCTGGCAGGGGCTCTGAGGTGTCCCTGGAGCCTTCTCTTGTGCAGGGGAACAGCCCCAGCTGGGCCAGGCTGGCTCCAGAGCAGAGGGGCTCCAGCCCTGGCAGCAGCTCCGTGCCTACTCTGCACTGCCTGCAGCAGCTCCACATCATTCCTGTGCTGGGGACCCCGTATCTTATGGATTAGAATGGATTATAGTATATTCTATTCTGCTGTACACTAAACCCCACGAAATTTAATCCCTTGACTTGATGCTGCTGACTAGAAGCAGACACTCCACATAGAAGCATCTCCTGGATTTATCAGCCCCTCTTGAGCAACCTTGTCTGGTGGAAGACGTCCCTGCCCATGGCAGGGGACTGGGCTGAGATGAGCTCTGGGGTCCCTTCCAACCCAAACCACTTTGTGATTCTGTGTTTGAACGCAAGTTTACCCCCACCAACGACACCCACACCGTCTGCACATCAGCTCCTTGCCTTCAGCACCCACAGCCAAAGGCTGCTCTCCGTGTTTCCCAGGAGCTCACCTGGGCGCACCTGCCGACGCCGCCGTTGTAGCGCCGGAAGGGGACACACTGCTTCTTCAGGGTGACGTCCTTCAGGTACTTGGTGGCCTTGCGGATGTGCATGCCCTTGATGGCCTGCGCCGTCTCTCGGGTGTTCTACACACAGGGCACACACAAAAGACCCTCTGAACAAACCCTTCCAAGAGACAGCACGAGCTCAACCACTCCTCTGTGCTCCCGGATACAATTATTTTGGCAACAAAGGAAGCACTTACTAAAGAATGCCCCAAGACTAAGAATGAAAAATAATTAACACTTTTTTTCTTTGTTACAACTTTTCCAACCCTTGGTATGACTGCCACTACTAAATCTGCCTCCAGCACATTTTTTATTTTAAATTTAGTGGCTAAACCCAATAAGGAAATTTGTAACTCTTAATAAAATTGCAGTTTAAAGACTTATACTTTTCAGAGCTTCCCTTTGGCCACTGATCTAAAAAGGCAGATCTGGATGGATAAATTCTTACTAAAATCGCAAATACAGCACCTCACAGGAACTGATTTAGAAACACTGTAACAATTGTTAACAATGTTGTTTCCTCTAAAACATTTGTTACAGAAGTCTCAAAAACAAAAGCTAAAGATAAAATATCAGTGTTCTAGACAGTATTTACTAATTGTGTAAGCCAGCTCTAACTATAATCCTACCTGCTCATAATCAAAAAAAAGAAAACCAGAGTGAAAGCTTTGTATTACACTAAGCAGAAAATAATCTGCTAAGCTCTGGTTTCATGATTAAATAACTCTTCTGAATTTTCTCTGCACCCAAGCCTTTCCAGAGAAACTGAGGTTCTTGTGCCGAACACCACACAACCAGGAACTTTCACACCAAACACTAGCCCAGTGTCTGACAAATTTACTCCAACTGTTTTGCTGCTGTATTTTCTTACCTGAATCAGACAAGGACAGTTTTTGATTTTTTGTGGATGGAGACCATTACAAGGAGTTGACAACAATCCTTTAGTGATTAAAGAGTAAAAGACATTTCCTTAAAAGAGGAATATTGGGAAGAAATTCCTGGCTGTGAGGGCGAGGAGGTTCTGGCAGAGGATGCCCAGACAAGCTGCGGCTGCCCCTCGATCCCTGGAAGTTTACAGGGCCACGTTGGACAGAAGGTTAGTCACTAACCACGGCAGAGGGTGGAATGAGATTATCCTTACAATCCCTTTCAACTCCAGCCAATCTGGTATTCTTTTAAAAAAATAACAAGAACAAAAACGACGTAAAACAGAAAATTAATTTGCAATTCCTCCTAATCACGCACTCCTTACCTTGAAATGCACACGCAGGTTGGATCCCCGTGACTTGCATGCTGCAAGAGTGGAAAAAAACAAACCAAGCTTTAGAATCAAAACTTCAATGGCTTCCGGGAAATCCCACACGAACTCTCCTAAAACAGCAACTCACATTTCGTGGGGTTCTCCGGATCCAGGGAGTAGCGCACCATCTTGAGAGCTCAGCTGAAAAACACCAATTAAAACATATTAAACTTCTAACAATGGCACGCAGGACCTGGAATACTGCCCTTTACCGCCGCAGCTGCTCAGGAATTACGCGTTCTTTTCACAGTTACATCCAAAGGTGTCCTAAGAAAGTCATCATCGCAGCCATGGATTATTCTCAGGCCTGCTCCTTCCCCGCATCCGCCCCCCCCCTCCGGTGCGCCATCCCGGGGAATACCGCGGGCGCGGGGCATGTCGCAGCGATCCCGGTGTCCGGGATGCCGGTGCCAGCGGGGTTGGGGCGGGA